GTATCCGGAGAAAACCCACGCATGCACCGAGAGAACATGCAATCTCCACCCAGAAAGGCCCCTGGACCGGGGTTTGAACCAAGGACCTGCTCGCTGAGAGGCAGCAGCTCTACCAGTTGTGCCACCGTGCTGCCCTTATTAACAGAAGTGTATACTATAATAATGAAAAAATATTTCAGGATACAGCGGGTCGGTATGTTATGGTGGTTGGTATAGAGGCAGGAATTAAGATTACTGTTTTAAACATTATGCACCAAATGAAGATTGCCCACATTATTTTTTAAAAATTGCCCAACTGTTGGTGGAGAAGGGTGAGGGACTAATACGCATAAGGGGTGACTTTAACTGTGTAATTAATAATAAATTGGCTAAACTACCCGTAACCACCAAACCACAATCCAGAATGTCCAAAAGTTTTTAAATATGATGAAAGAACTGGGGTTAATAGACGTCTGGCGCCACCTTCACCCGAGGGAAAGAGATTACACATTTATGTCCCATGTACATGGAAGTTACTCAAGACTGGATTATTTTCTTATATTAAAGAAAGACACATTTCGACTTAAAGATAGCACAATTGAGACAATGACCATCTCTGATCATAGCCCAGTAATTACGATTCTAAATCTGGAATCTGAAAACCAAATTAAATACTAGAGAATAAATATCTCAATGTTAACAGATATCTGTATTAGAGAAGAGATACGATCAGCGATAACAGAGTATTTTGATCAGAATGATAATGGTACTGTTTTACCAGCAGTGCTATGGGATGTAGCTAAGGCCACAATAAGGGGAAAATTAATCTCTATAGGGTCTAGACTAAAAAAAGAAAAACTAAAAAAACAACTGGAACTGGAATCAGAAATTAAAAGATTAGAAAAGGATCATAAACAACATGAAAGGCCAGAAAAACTTAATGAATTAAAGGACACTAGAGTAAGGCTGGACGAGTTATTAAGATATAAGGCAGAGGGTGCCCTTAGATTTATAAACAGAAAATATTATGGAATGGGAAACAAAGCCAGCAGATTGTTAGCTTTTCAATTAAAAAAGGCACAGACTAGTCGTGCAATTCCTAAAATTAAAAATATGAGTACAAATAAAATTGAAACAAACCCTAAAGAAATCTCAGATACTATTGCAGAATATTATGGACAGCTATACAAGGGCCAGGAGCAGCACTGAAAACAGAAAAAATAGAAGGTTTCTTTACAAATTTTAAGTTGGACAAACTAACTGAAGGGGAAGCATCTAGTTTAATCGAGCCAATAAAAGAGAGTGAAATTAGAGTAACTATATGTAAATTAAAAAACATAAGTCACCAGGAACAGATGGGTTTGCAGGAGAATATTATAAAACATTTGTTGATGACCTTTCACCTATATTATGCAAACTTTATAATTATGTACTAGATACAGAAAATCCTCCTGGCACTTGGTCATCAGCTATTATTACAATACTACATAAAGATGGAAAAGACCCGATACAATATTCTACTTATTGTCCCATAAGCCTTCTGTGTGTTGATTATAAGATATTAACCTCCATTTTAGCGACTAGAGTACAGAAATGTATAAAAACGTTAATTAAGCTGGATCAGACAGGATTTATTTCAGGCCGGCAAGGTATAAATAATGTGAGGAGAACTTTAAATTTACAGTTAATAATGGCAAGAGATAAAGAACCAGATATGCTTCTTAGTTTAGACGCTGAAAAAGCTTTTGACAGAGTCGACTGGACGTTCTTAGAACATACCCTCATTGAAATAGGTTTTGCCGAGAGATTTGTTAAATGGTTCAATTTTTTATATAAAAACCCTCAGTCTAGAGTAAGAGTTAATGGGCACTGCTCAGATTTTTTTGAAATGGGAAGAGGAGTGAGACAGGGTGATTCACTGTCACCTGTCCTCTTTGCTCTAAGCATCGAGCCATTAGCGGAGGCTGTACGCCAAAATTTACAGATTCAGGGAATAACAGATGGAGAAGGAATGGCCCACAAAATTGCTCTCTTTGCAGATGATGTCTTGCTTTTTATAAAATACCCAAGCACATCAATACCAGCATTTATGCAATGCTTAGATACATATGCTGAGATATCATATCAGGATATAAAATAAATCAAAACAAATCAGAAGCAATGATGATGTCAGGGAAGTGGCCTGAGGAATTAAATAAAACTGTGCCCTTCCATTTCTCTAATAAGGGCTTTAAAAGTACTTAGGGATCACTCTGACTGCTCACCCTACAAAATTGTATGATGCTAACTACCAAAGAGTTAATAAAACAATTCAAGAATGATCTGACCCGTTGAGAAGTCCTCCCACTCTCGCTGTTAGACAGAACCAAAACTATAAAAATGAATTTAATTCCTCGTTTTCTATTTTTGTTTCAATCATCGCCCATAAGAGTTCCTATTTATATTTTTTAATAAACTAAACAAATTAATATCACAGTTTATATGGCAGCACAAGAGACCTAGAATAAGACCTAAGACACTTTATTTGCCAAAAGATAAAGGAGGAGCAGCTCTGCCTAATTTAAAACATTATTACTGGGCAGCTCAATTAGCTGCAATAGTCACTTGGATTAGGGGAGATGAGGAACCCATTTGGAATCGGATAGAGCAGGGGGAGCTGACTTTGCCTTTTATTGATTCAAAATCTGTCATTAAACTGAATATTGAAAATGAATGGATTAAACATACTCTGAAGATCTGGATGGAAGTAAAAAAAAACGATGAATGACACAGGATCAATATCTCGAGCTATGCCAATCGTGGGTAATATAGACTCCACCCTTCTGCATGGGACCAGGGGTTTAGAAAATGGAACACCAAAGGTCTCATCATTCTCAATCAGTTGTTTGGAGAAACAGGTTTTAAATCTTTCTCACAGATAGGGAGCAATTTGATCTCCCAGCCAAAGATATGTATAGATATCTCCAAATTAGACATTACATTATGAACCATAAAGACAAAGAGAAAATTAATAAAGATCCAAATGATATAGAACAATACTTTATTTCCATTATACAAAAGAAAATTCTAACAAAAAGATATTTCTCTAATATATAAGAGAGGACCTGATGGAACCTCCATCTGCATAATTTTCTCAAGCTCCACCTTCATATTCCTCCAGTATGTTTGGATAACAGGACAATCCCAGAATATGTGTGTATGGTCACCTATTTTCCCACATTTTCTCCAGCAGTATGCAGTTGAGGGATCATTTGCAAAATTAGAGATATTAAGAGGTGTGTGAAAGTACCTCATCTT